AAAAGTAGGTAAAAAAAACTTATATGTTTGGGATGACTTTTTGGCTAATTACGAAAAGATGTGCAAAAAGTAGAGAGAAAAGAGAATCTTTGACTTTTTGATATGGGTTGTTGACTTTTTGGCTAAAAAGGTAACTTTTTGACTAAAGCCTCGTTTGGCAATAGGTTGATTTAGCCAAAAAGCCAAAAAGTTACTAAAAAAGCCAACAACCCATACCAAAAAGTCAAAGATTCTCTTTTCTCTCTACTTTTTGCACATCTTTTCGTAAAAAGCCAAAAAGTCATCCCAAACATACTAGTTTTTTTTAGCTCATATTTTAGCCAAATAGTCAAAAAGTTACTAAATTAGCCTATTCCCAAACGAGGCCTAAAAATGTAACTTTTTGGCTTTTTGGCTAAAAAGGTAAGTCCCCAAACGGGGCCTAAGTCTAAAGACAACATAGTGGATCCACTAACCAAAGGGTTAGCAAGAGAGTTAGTTGAGAATTCATTGAGGGGAATGAGACTTAAGCCTATTAAATAAGAGTTACCACAACGGCAACCCAACCTAGTTGACTGGAGATCCCAAGATCTAGGTTCAGAGGGACAACCGAGTTGTGAATGACTCAGAAGGATCACTGGGGAGTCCAACTCCTACCCATTTCTATGATGAAACAGTGATGTCTGCAACGTTTTAGGTTAAGTAATAATTTTAATGATTCTTATATCTAGGTAAACCTAGTGAAGTATGGCAGGATACTCTTCATAAGAATCACCTATGTGAGTGTGAACTGGGTCGGTTCTGTGAGATTTGTGAAGGGCTACAATTCTCTAGAGTACTCATGAAAGACCATGTTGTTTAAGGCCAAAATGAACACAATAGTGAGAACTAAACTGTGTCTGGGAATATACTGTGTGAGTTCTATTGTCTTGGTTTACACAAACGGCTGAACAGTTCAAGACATCATGTTCACTGATTAGCTAGTAAATCCGATAGTGTCTCACAAGGGAAGGTTCAAAGCCAAAAGCTACCTATCCTTTGCAGAATATTTCCATTTTCTGTACTCTCTGAAATTAGATCATGTTGTTGCATTTTCTCTCCGTCAAATTTCATTCATGTGGAGGATTGTTGGAAAAATGGTTTAATGTAGGCATATTTTTTAGCCCAATTTTAAGTGGGCCCCAAACGTTGTTTGGGGTGGGTCCGACGAGGTGAAGTGTTTCTTGCCGCGTACGGAACGTCAAAACCATTTATGAGTGAATGGGAAGTTGACGTCGTTTTCGGGTCTAATCTTCTATGTAAATAAAATAACTTGAAATAAATTCAAACAAAATAAATAAATAACATACCAGATTTATTTATCGAATCGAATTAAAAATTCAAAGACCAAGTCGAGTGTGTGACACTCTGTCCTTAAGACAGATTCGCCCCGCCACGGTATTTACGGTTGAGTGGCGTCGATCTCCCAGGATACAATGATCTTCACAAATTGTAGTAGTACTCCAAACAATTTATTCGGTGAATCAAACCTGTGTTCTAATACTCTCTTTATATAATTCTAAAACTAGAATGTAGAATAATGCAAACAAAACAAAGTTTGGACAGCAAAACAAATGATTTTACAGACTATTTTTTTTTCGGCCAGGAAATTGCTGGATTTATGACAGTATATATAGGCAACCAAGAGTCAGTTGGAGCCCAAACAGGTACAACACAAAGAAGTGAAAAGATGCACTTTTCAATTCAAATAAAGTTGACCGTTAGCAATTTGAAAACAAATTTGAAAAGTTTCCGTTGGTCAAACAAAACTGTTTGGAATTCAAATCTGTTTCACCTTTATTAAATAAGTTTAATAAATAAAGTAAGAGGTACAAATTTTAAAAAACCACTTAGGAACTCAAAATTTGAATTTAGAATTAAATTAAATTCCCATAATTACAAACTTTAGGAAACCACTCAGGAACTCAAAATTTGAATTTAGAATTAAATTAAATTCCCACAATAATTTTTATTGAAAAAAATCAAAAGAATTTTTATCTAAGAAATTAATGTTAGACCCTAAAACGACATTAACTTCCCATTCACTCATAAATAGTTTTGACGTCCTGCCTTCACCGTGTGACTTGCCACGCGGTAAAGAACACGTCACCTTTTCGGACCCACCCCAAAAGACGTTTGGGGCCACTCTAATTTGGCCTCAAAATTGGCCAAAAATAAGCCATATAAAATACCATTTTTTCAACAATTAGTACACTAAGTAATGCATATAGTATTATTCTAACTCTTAACACAATAAATTATAATTAAAAATCACAAAAATCATAACCAAAATCGCATATGTTACACATCTATTGGCACTAATTTTTAAAAATTACCTGTGGACAAGACGCTAACATGACTTGAAGAATGTGTTAGTGAAGTGGCAAGATGATGTGGCATTTAAAAATTAATAAAGGCAAGCGAAACTAAGAGGATCATGCTGCTGAAGAAAATAGTTGGAGATATTACTAAGATCTAGGGACCCAAAACCAAGCCAAAGGGAATTTGCTAAACGGTAACAGAAAGATAGAGACAGAGATGAGAAAATCAAAGAGAATCATGGAGAAGTGGCTATAACAGGGGTAGCCAACAAACTGGTATAAAAGCAGCATGAGCCAAATGAATAAAGACATACAACGCAACTCACACATTGGCGCTATTTGGGAACTCAAGTTAGAGGTTAAAATAGTTTTAAATATTAAAAAAAAGTTAAATAGCTTCTAATAGTATTCTAAAATCAATGATTTATATATATATATATTTTTTTAAAAAGTAGCTTAGCAGTGGTAGCCTACACTGTCACGTTAACAGTGCACTGATAGCCTACCATTGTCATGTTGGCAGGCTGTCCCACAGGTAGTAAATGATAATTTTGCCCCTTTAGACCAATTTTGGAAAAAGTGAAGTTAGGAACAAATTTGTCATTTCAATCTCAAATATCATATCAAACACATTTTTCAATACAATAATTAACCAAAAAATTCAACCCAACTTCCCAAACATAAAAACTAAAAAAGCCTACTAAAATAGTTAAATAGTTAAAAAGTCAAAAAAGTAACCACTTCCCAAACAAGGCCAATATTAATCAAGTGATTACCTAAATTTTTATTATTTTATATAAAAATAATTTAGCAATTCCTACACTAACAACTATTATTAAAACAAATACAATTTTACTTAACCTCCTCACTATGAATCCCCTCCATTCTACCTTTGAAAACAAAGGGCCTTATGTTACGCCTTTTTGGATTCTTTGGGAGTTAGTCCTTTGAGAGTACATCTTGTGGAGGTGTGTTGTGTGGTTTGTGTAGGTGATGGCCTTGTTTTTCTCTTTTAGAAATATGATCCTCTATTTGTGCTCTTTGATTTTCCCATTTTATTTATTTTTTTTACTTCAAAATAGGTGGCCCAGAAACTAATTTTATGACTTGATCATTTGATGAGGAATTAAAATAATTTATTATACTTCTTGTCATTTACCAATTTTATTTTAGAGCTTCACATTGTTGTACCAGCTTAGTAATTAACCGATTAATGTTTTTTAATTTGCAGGTTGCCCGCCACCAAGTGCATATATGTAGCAGATCTTTTATAGTTAAAATATATTAGACTCTAATTTATTATATTGAAGTTATTCCTGTTTAAAGCGTTTGTTTGATTGAAGTTATAAAAAATAAATTTATAGAAACAGAGTTGAGTTTTTTAAATATCACGTTTAAAAAATTGAGATTTTTTCAAATAAAATCATTGCTAGTAAACATGACTGAAATATTATCATGCAAAAATAATTACATTTTCACACCGAAAACTGAGATTTTTTATGTTTAACTATCACAGGTATACTGAAAAAGCAAGATGGTGTTTTTAGAAACAACCAAGCTTTTTTCAAAAACTGAGATCATTTATATATAACTATCAGAGTTATATTGGCAAAACGAGATAATATTTTAAAAACAATCATGCTTTTTGTCAAAAACTGATATCTTTTATATATAACTATCATAGTTATATATGATATTGAAAAATCAATATAGTATTTTAGAAACAATCATATTTTTTTAAAAAAATTGAGATCTTTATTATAATATTAATGATGGTTTTGACATTTCAATCTTAGTTTTTAAGCTTCAGTTAAAAATCGCGATGAAAAAATTGGACAAACAATCAAACTTTAATACATCACGTTTTTTGTGTTGAAAAATTAAAAGCTTAAAATCAAGGTTTTTAACCGTGATTTTTGTGTTTAGTTGGAGGATTTGGGGAGGGATTTGGTAAGGGAAAGGAAAGAGGTGTGTGAACCTAGGTGAAATTTAGGCATGTTTTATTCATATTTCACCCATCTTTTCTATTTTCCTTTCCAAATTCCTCCTCAAATCCCCAACCAAACACAGCATAAGTAGTATTATAAAATGAGTTCATGAGGTTTGTCAAACCCATCGCTTGTCATACATTAGCTTAACACCAATAGTTGGCAAGACTATTGTGACCCAGTGGTGTTGTTAAGTTGTTAGTTAGTTTGATTGTTTGTTAAGTTATATTAACTACAACAAGCGTTTTAGAAAAGGGTGCAGTGAAGATAGAAATGAAGAACGAGTGACTGACACATAAGTTTTCTTTATTATTTTTTAATTTTTAATTTTTAATTTTTAATTTATATATGTACATATATATATATTTAAGTGGACCTCATTTTTACGTAACAAATACTTTAACAAACACTTTAATTACACTATTGGAACACATACTCACTTTTTAAACTAACAAACACTTAAGGCACACAAATGGGTCCTACTATTCACACTCATCAACCAATCATTTTGTTAACACATCACTTAGTTTAGAAAGTAATATAGAAAAACCAAAAAGTTATGGGTATATCGATTAACTTTGATTGTTTAGACCAAGTTTTTTTTTTTTTTTTTGGGTTGCTTTTCCTTTTCTTAAAGCCAAAAGGAAACTACAAATGAGGAGAGAGAGGGAGATTTAAAACAAATGGTGAAAAATATTTTATATTTGATTTTCGGATAACAAGTAGTATAGAACAACATGATGCAACATAATTGATAGCAAAAATGATCAGACAGGAATAATAGATCAGGAACAACAATGAGGCAGATCAAGAAAAATAATTCTCAATCATCTTGTGTGTTAGGATGGCTGGAAAAGATTGACTCTCCATTACAAAATGTCTACACTATCCCACGCAAATCACCCTTGTGAGAAAGACTGCAGAAGAAGGCACTTCTGCAAAGTATTGTGTTAGGATTTGCTTTACGCAGCGCTCTTAGGTACCTCATCAATGCTGCAAAAAGAGATTTTAATTTTAATTTTCAACAATAACAAAAGCTGGACTGAAGTACTTAGTTAAAGAATAGGATAACACTCAGAAAATCAAGTGAAACTCTAACCTCAGCTTCTGCTGATTTGGTTCTTCAGCTTTGAAGTTTTCATCAACTGCACAGTTGGAATTTGGAAGTTCATAAATAAGATTCTCTTTCACAATCATGTTTCGGTGTCAAATAAGGCAGAATAACATTGGGGATAGATAAATTCAAACTCTGCCTGTCTGTCTTTTGAGTGTTAAAATATTATCATTTGCATGCAATGGATAAGTGACTAGGAAAAATGATATTTGTCATCACTGGATGAATTTCAGTATTTTTTCACCTCCCATGTGAATCCACACAACAAATACCATGTGTAATATGGGAACCCACGATATTCATAAAATAATGAAGGGTCCCATTACTCAATAATACTACAAACTCAGACTTACCTACTCAGAAATTATTCAAAATTATCATCTTGTGATTCAGATTTATTCTACACATGAATCCTACACTGCACAAATTTAATCTCTACCACACAACCACACACAGAGAAAATTTTGGGTGGAAAAGTCTCGGATCCTAGACTTTTCCATTATTTTCAGAGGAGGTAGAAAAAAATGGTGAAATCCAACCGGTGGCATATAGCAGTCACTAGTAACTAATATGCAGCTCAAATCCTCTTTTTGAAAAACATTCTTCAGCAATTTAATGCTTAAATATATGTAGACAATACCAATCTTAGCTAGAGTAATGGAAAAAATTAGGATATGAGCTTTCTAAATTTGCCTAGATATTTTGTCAAAAATCAAATCTGTGTTGCATAAAAGGTCATTCCAATCAATGGAATAGGGTTTTGAGTTTGAGAGATCAGAGCTAAATCCACTCCTTCGAAATCTCTGACTAAAAAAGCCTGCTAATTTATTTTTTTTCTTCCTGGCTATACTATACCTCCATCTTCAGGCAAATCAGAAGTCCAGAGAGTGAGATTGTCTCTCAAAAGTTGCATAATCAGGGTGCTGTCTTTGTATGACTCCTCGCTCAAGGTGTCCAACTCAGCAATTGCTTCATCAAAAGCTTGTTTAGCCAAATGGCATGCTCTGCAAATTGGATAACCAACATGAATCATCAATTTGGCCAGTAAAAATTGGGATGAGAATGTTAAAAAAGCCTCCAAAGAATTGACACCAGATACGTAGGAATTAAGAATAACCTCTCAGGAGAATTCATAATCTCATAATAGAAGACCGAGAAGTTGAGAGCAAGGCCAAGACGAATTGGGTGTGTTGAAGGGAGATCTGTATTTGCAGTGGCAGAAGCAGCCTAAAAATGGAAGAAAAAAGAACAGCATCAAGAAGACACATCAAGTGAAGGTCAAAAACAAAACTACGTCAATATGCAGCAATTCACTATGCATATCTCTAGTATAGGATGTCAAGACAATTGATCAACATGCCTCATAACCCTTCAGTGATTGTTCAGCAACCTCTTTTCTTTCCTGGTCTGTCTTAAACTCAGCAAGATACCGGTAGTAGTCACCTTTCCTGAATTAATCAGAACACAGAGAAGATGACCTTACTTCCAATTTGGGAGGGAAAGAAAAATTTGAGAAAAATAAAAAGTCACATTCAAGTGAGGCCCCAAACCCACTTACTTTCAACCAAGAAGGGAGAGAGAAACAAAAGATCAAACGGATGGTTCACTTCTACACATGTGCAACCACTTGTATAAACTAAAGTATGAAAAGCAAAGAAAATAGATTATCTCTTCTCTTTGCATGTCAGACTCTGGCATAAATCAGACACAAATACTTGTACAACAGTGGCATGAAAAGTAACCACTCATATCGATTTACAATTGATCACTTATATCAGTAGAATATATTCGATTGCGATATATGCAGATAATTTAGCATATTATTCCCCATGAAAATCATTGTCATACATAGCAAACAAGCAACATATAATTAGAGATAGATGCTTCTCCCGGATTGTCATACATAGCAAACAAGCAACATATAATTAGAGCATAATAATACCCCATTAGGGCAAACATGACTCACATCTTGTAGTAAAAGACAGTTGCTTCAACTGAGTTGGAAGAGGGGATGAGATGTTTGTCAATGATAGTCAGAATGTCACTGCAAATCTTCGAAAGCTCATCCTCTACCTTTTGGCAATAACCCTTAATGAGCTTAACATTGTGCTCATTTGCCTTAGACTCTTCCTTCTGCTCAATTGAAGACATAATACGCCAAGAGGCTCTCCGGGCACCAATTACATTCTTGTACCCCACAGAGAGCAGGTTCCTCTCCTCCACAGTCAGCTCTACATCAAGTTTTGCAACTTCCTTCATAGTCTCAACCATTTCTATAATAACAACAATCAAAGACAACAATGTTACAAGAGAGACTCCCCCGGATATAAAATAAAATTGAAAGATTATTTGCAACAACAAAAAAAAATCATTTTTGCCCTTTCTATGGAATGTAAAGCTTACGTAACAATGTTTATTCATTATTGTTATTATTATTTGGGCAAAGATTCAATGGCGTTGATCTTGCATTATTAGCATGTAGAACTTACCATTCAACGTTTTTCCACAAAAATTAGTACAGATTGTATGATCTTACACTAAAGCCTCGAAAAGAAATTGGAATGCAATATATTTAGTATCTGCATGTGAATACATACATATGAACACATTAACTAATGTACATGAATATGAAAAAATTGGCAGAAACAACACATAAGTAGACATTATTTAATGCGCATGTAGATTGGAAGAGAGGTTTAACCTTTCTCCTACTATCAGAGGGCTGTTCAGATTGTATAATCTAGGCTTGCCAATTCAATGAATGAACCATCAATATGACATAATTGGGTTCATATGGTCTCTGAATACAGCACATAATTCCTTAACCCATATATATATATATATATGGGTATGCAATTTTACTATCAAATCACCAATCAAGATTTGAACTACATACTTCAAATAAATTACCCAAATATTAACATGAGAAAGAAGGAAAATGTAAAATATGAGCACAATAGCCTTGAAGCCGAATACAATCCAATAATGTCCCACAATGGCATCTCTCATTTCTAGTGAATCACAACTAACTTTAGATATAATAAGTACAATTTTTCTCTACATAAAATACAACAAATTAACTGAAAGAAATTAACCATAAATTCTACCAATCATGTAACAAATACCAAATTTTTTTAGGGGAAATTGTATTTCAGTGGAGCAATGGCAAAAAAATTACATTTTTGTGGTGGTGCAACTCTCTTGTGTGCATAGTGCAAATTCATTTGTGTACTTGGTGTAACTCTTTCTATGCGTCAAAGTTGCACCAAAAAAGATTCTCATATGTAGTGCAATTATTTTGTGATAGTCCCACCTATTTACAAATTTTCATTTTTTAAGACATAAATGACAACTCCTCACAGGCCTCACACAATTATACAATATTCAATTTAGTGTCTATAGCTTTATTCAAATTTAACAGTTCAATCAAATCAAACTTTGGCTCTTCTCTCCAATGGGTAGGTTTTTCTTTTTTTCTTTTTTTTGATCAATAGTAATTTCCATTAAAGTAAAGTCAAATGGTGCTTATAGGGAGATCAATCCAGCAAAAACCTTATACCAAACTAAGGAATGATCCTAGTTCAAAGAATAAAGGAATAATCCTCAAATAAAGCACTAAGAAGAATACCAAACTAAGGAATGATCCTAGTTCAAAGAATAAAGGAATAATCCTCAAATAAAGCACTAAGAAGAAGCTATGTATAGATCTTAAGACGCAAAATTTGTAATGCAAAGCAGACGTCAATCATAAGAGTTTGACAATAGAATAAGTCTGAGATAAATACATAACCTACATCGACACAGAGGTAAGCTAAAATCACACCCAAAAAAAAAAAAAAATACACCCTCAAACCCAAAATGCCTAGGCAATGGTGGTGGCGGATCTCTCTCGGCCACTTCGGAAGTTTATGAATGTATTGTAATTGATGATTTTTACTATGGAGATTTGCTAACAAGTACTCATGAAACACAAAAAAATACATAGACAAAATATATTACAAAATTTTGCACATGGGAAAATAAAACCATATTAGTTTTTTTAACAATTTCATAATTGTAAATACAATGTTTACGTAATTTTCAATATTAAACAATGGTTCAAGCCACTTGTTACCGTTTGCATTTATTTATTGTAACGGAGATAACATTGTAATAAAATAAAATGGAAAAACAAATCAACAAATTTTGCACATTTCAAAAGAATAATAAAAAAAGAAATGTTAGGCATTATGAAAATTTTTTCATGAAAATGATCATGAAAGATTTGTAACGCTTAGATTACCTTGATTAATATATGGTGCTTTATTCTAAGTATAATCTAAAGGTCATGAATCTTTCGTGATATTTTCATAAAAGACTTTTCATGATAGTTAGCATCGTTGATAAAAAAAAAAAAATATAATCAAATCAAGAAAAACAGAATATATCAAACCGTATCATTAAAATCAAAGGAACAACGTGGTAAGCATCAATATCCACAGTCCAGGCATTCCACATATATATACAGATCAAAACACAATTCTGAAGCATTGGACAAATAGATCTCCATCAATTAGACAAGCATTCTAATATATATATATATATATATGAGCATATATATATACATGTGTATACATATATGTATATGGTGAGAGACCTTCGTAGCGCTCGGCCTGTTCGGCGAGCTTGGCGATGTAAACCTGAGTCTCTCTCTCCTTTTCGATCGACATTGCTAGATCGTGGTAGCGAGAGGGATGGAAGAAGAAAAAGAAGAACAACAAGAAGCAATCAAACGATTGCGAAGGCGGAGAGTTGCAGACACTTTCTGGTTTTTTTTTAGAGAGAGAGAGAATAAGGAATGTAAGCGTGAGAAATGGTGGGGAACTTATATATCAATCGAAAATAATGAAGTTAACGATTGAGCAAGTTGGGGAAGGAAGACCGGATCTGGACCGTTGACTTTGGTTTGAATGTTTGAAATTAGAAAATGTATTACATAGTTTTTGGAAAGTTAATAAAAAATTATTTTTTAATTTTTTAACTTTTTTTTAATACAAAAAGTTAAGTTATTTTGGATAAAAAAAATGTAAAGTTAAAAAATTGACTTTTTTGACAACATTCAAAAAGACCCTTATATATATGGTATCTATAAGAAAATTCTATATTCAAACTCAAAAATTAAACTTATTTTTCAAATTCAATAATTAATCAATCAGTCATTTGTACCGTTTTTTTTTTTTTGGGGGCAAAGCGTCAATAAATTCCAAATTTTAATTTGTTAAATCGTTTGATCCTATCTTTTATTTTGTAGACTGATAAGTCCTGTTTGAATGGTAAGTATATACTCATTTATTTAACAAGTAATTTTTTTTTTTTTTTTTTTTTTTTTTTTTTTGAAATGGCGTTTCTACTTTTTTTTTTTGTGGAGGACAAATGTTAGTTTTTGCTCATGTTGAAATGACAAAAATGTCCAAAAGCTTACTATAGGCTTTTTTATGATTTCCTTTCTTTTCAAACAAAACGGTTGAGACATTATGGAAGACTTTAGGTTTGTATCCCAACTTTAGTAATTGGGATCCTTAATTTGTGTGATTGAAAAATCACATTTGGGTTGATATTGATGATGTTGCTGATGTTGATGATGTAGTTGATGTTGCTGATGTTGATGATGTGGATGATGTTGCTGATGTTGCTGGTATGTTGGGAATCGAGACTTCGATTTTTTTGCGGGTGAAAATCCAAGAAGACTTCTTGGATAAAACAATAGGGAAAATGGCGTGAATTAGGCCAAGTTTGGGAACACCCCAAAAAGCCAAAAAGCCAAAAAGTTACTTAAAAAGTTAAAAAGTTATCACTATTCACCAAAAGTCAACAATTACGGCTGCACAACTCCCAATTCTAATTTTCTCCTACAAATCAATTTTTACAATTTTTTATTACACATTTTTCCATAAAAAGTCAAAAAGTTAACCCAAACATTCATATTTTCAACCTCAACTTTTTAGTCTAAAAAGACAAAAAGTGCACTTATTTAGTCTTCCCAAACTTGACCTTAGTCTAGGGTTTTGGAGAGTGATTGGGTTTGGGGACAGTCCTTTGCATTTGATTGGAGATTTGAGGTTTATGGTGTGGTGATCCATTCAGGGAACGACATTGAGAGTGAGAGAGAGAGAGAGAGAGAGGAGAGAGAAGAGAGAAGGGTTTAGATGATGTTAAAGAATTGAGAGAGAGAGGGGGAGAGAATATATCCACACCATGACAAAATCAAAATCAAATTACAATATGGGAAAAAATATAAACTCTATACATAATATATCAAAAACATATATCATACTAAAAATAAAAAAGGATTAAATGGTTTAAGAAAAAATATTCAGTATTAAATAGAGCAACAACTATCAAAATGAGATTTATAAATAATTTTTCCTTCTTTTTTTCTTTCATATTTTTTTAATTATCAATTAATTATCTTACTTATACATCTTAAATCTAGAAAATGAGTCTAAAAAATAAATTGATATATTATTTTATTTATTGTATATATATACATATATGTGTGACTCATATACCCTACTTATCATCTTTGTAATATAAGTTATGATTTATTGAGATGTTAATTATAATTTAATTACATATTATGATATTAATTATACTTTATTGTGATATTAATTATAATTATAATTATAATTTTTATTTTTATTTTTATTGTGATTCAAAAAATTTTATTTTGTATTTGGTTACTACTCATTTTTTTATATATATAATTATGACGGGTAAAGTATTCATTTATGACATCTGTGAAATTTTTACAACTTAAATATACATAGCATGACCCATGTGTGTATATATATATATATTTATGAGAAATTGTATGACCCTAGGTACATATAGTATAAAATTTTCGTATTATAATATTATATTACAGTAACGTTATGATGAGTTATGATATTTAGGGGTGAGCATGGTCCGGATTGGATCGGATTGGGATAAAACCAGAATCAATCCGTTATCTACGGTTCCTGAAAAATTAAAACCAATCCAATCCATTTAAATCATGGAACCAATCCGAACCAATCCATTTAAATACGGATTGGATCGGTTTAGGACCACGAATTCACATAATTAAATAACAAAAATATATATATCTATATATAACACTTTAATTTCATAAAAATATAAATATAGCGCTATATCATTTCCATAATAGCAACATGTTTTTCTATAATAGTGACATATTGTTCTTGAATTTAAACAACCATAAGAAAATACAAACAAAAGTAATAAAATAAGATATTATACGGTTTTAGGTTTGAGTTTAGATTTTATATAGAATAAAAGAAGATACTATGGGGGAGGATATACAATAAAAATATAGACTATTTGTATACGGTCCGGATCGGTTCCAATCCGGAACCGCGGGGTTCAATCCGGAACCAATCCGTGGACTACGGATTTTTAATTCTTCAATCCGGAACCGAACTGCGGATTCAAAAAACTAATCCAAACCTATCGAATTGGACTGAACTGGATCGGATTACGGATTTTACGGATTTCTTGCTCAGCCCTAATGATATTTGTGGAGTTGATTAATTTAGACTATTGCATGGGTCGCGAGTCAGACTTTCAAGGCAACAAAAAGTAGACTATTAATTTAGACTGGAGTTGATACTTGTGGAGTTGATTAATTTAGGCAACAAAAAGTCATTGCAGGGCCCAGAAGTTAAGCAAATGTGCCGCCTCTTTCCAGCTGCACAAATCATCCTCTTGACTGTTCTCATTAATAATGGCCAGCAAGCTCAATTAAAGCTCTGATTATGGTGTGTTTCTCAATACCATCGCCACCAGCGCCGCTACCTTTACCAAAGCCCCAAAACGGTGGTGAATAGCCTACTCAGCAATTTACTTTGCTCTCTATATTGCCAAAGATACCGCGGCTGAGAAGAGGATTAAAGCTCAAATTAAAGCTCAAAAGAGATGGCGCCTAGCTTACGTAGCAATATATTCTTCCTGAGTCATGGTTTCTCTGTTCAGAGAGATTGTAACCAATACGACTAACAATGATCCTCCTTGTACCATTCTTGACATTGAACCAGCCATTCCTGATTGTGTTGATGAAAATACTCACTTAGTCCAGATAGAAGAGGGTGACGAGTCTTGCTTCCCCAGCATTGATCGCTCAAAACTCGCAGAGATGGTGAAAGAAAAGGCCTTGAATGCGGTAGCCGGGTTTGGAGGTGTTGAGGGGCTAACCAAGGCTCTTGAAACAGACCCTGAAAATGGAATCCACGGAGATGAACATGATGTTAGGCTCCGGGCAGAGCACGTTTGGTTCGAACACTTACCAAAAGCCGCCCCTGAAAGGGAAGATAAAAATTGTTGAGGCAATATGAAATTGGGAAGGTAGGCCTTGCTGTTGCTTTTCTAGTTCTTGTAGTTCTGTTAACAAACACCACTTTCATCTTCCGTGTTCCCGGTGAAATAACGAATTAACAGAAATACAAGAACTAGAAAAACAACCTTCCCAATTGTTGAGGTCAGTTTGTTAAGCCGAGCTTGTAATGGTGTTTGGTTGTTGGAATCGCGCGATATCGAGCTCATCATATTGCCCCAAGCTGTGTTCATCCCCACTAATGTCACAACCATCCGAGCATACCCATCTGCAACTTTTGAACCCGAAAGCAAGAACGGGTTCTGAGTGCCGTCAACTTCCACGTGGTTGCTCTCCCCGGTCATGCTTGACTCATCCACTAGCAAAGAAAGTCCCCGCAGGAACAGCCGGTCAGCAGGGAATTTGATCACCAATCATAAGAAACACCACATCTCCAACCATGACATCGAAGATGGAGATCTTTTGCCGCCTTCCGTCTCTGGCGACATCAATTTTTATGTTGCTGCTTATTTTCGACAGCTTGTCAAACTGTCTTGCTTGTCTGAAATTGCTAATTGCAGATACAGTGACAACGAGAAAAACAGCTACAAATGTACTACCACCCTCGTACCAACCTTGTCCCGCCCCCTTTTCTTTAATGCCAAAGCCGAGAGACAGAGCAGCACAGCCGAGCAGGATGAGAATGGTGATGTCCTTGAAAGCCTCCACCACGAAATAAATGAACCCCTTTGGGGGGCGGCTTTTGGTAAGTGTTCATACCAAACGTGCTCTGCCCGGAGCCTAACATCATGTTCATCTCCGTGGATTCCATTTTCAGGGTCTGTGTCAAGAGCCTTGGTTAGCCCCTCAACACCTCCAAATCCGGCTAGCGCATTCAAGGCTTTTTCTTTCACCATCTCTGCCGGTTTTGAGCGATCAATGCTGGGGAAGCAAGAATCGTCACCCTCTTCTATCTGGACTAAGTGAGTATTTTCATCAACACAATCAGGAATGACTGGTTCAATGTCAAGAATGGTACAAGGAGGATCATTGTTAGTCGTATTGGTTACAATCTCTCTGAACAGAGAAACCACGACTCGCGGGAAGAATATATTGCTACGTAAGCTAGGCGCCATCTCTTTTGAGCTTTAATTTGAGCTTTAATTCTCTTCTCAGTCGCGGTATCTTTGGCAATATAGAGAGCAAAGTAAATTGCTGAGTAGGCTATTCGCCACCGTTTTTGGGCTTTGCTAAAGGTAGCGGCGCTGGTGGCGATGGTATTGAGAGACACACCATAATCAGAGCTTGAATTGAGCTTGCTGGGCATTATTAATGAGAACAGTCAAGAGGATGATTTGTGCAGCTGGAAAGAAGGATCTTTCTAACAATCTCAATCTCAGCTAGCAAACCTTTAATAGTTGAATTGGAGGCGGCACATTTGCTTAATTTCTGGGCCCTGCAATGACTTTTTGTTGCCTGTAGCGTTATAAGTCTGACTCGCGACCCATGCAATAGTC